TCTATCACCCACCAATCGTTCGTAGGGGATTTTTATAAACTAAGAAACGGTTGGGTCGTAGTGGTAGCACTCCCATACTTCCTTACCATGTTGTGGTATCTAATCACGTTGACACCACCCACTGACATCTTCAAAAAAACTAACTTTTTAATTTATTTGAAAAATGGGTAGGAACTAGGGACATGCCTTCTCCACTAAATTACCCAAAAAAAAAAATTTATTATAAACAGAAACATGGGAAATTGATATATGGATCCAAACATTACTGTTGCAAGTATCGTCTCACTTTTAAGTTCACATTGTAAACTTCTTGTCAGGGGTGGGAGTCCAAAGAATTTATATAATTGCAACCTTAACATGCATAACTAAGGTGCACCTCAAAAGTCCATCATAAAAAAGGTTTTTTTTTATGTTAAAAACCCTCTAATTGATTATCTCGATGTTGAGATATATAAATATAAAAAGAAAAAAAGATTTTGAGTCTTAAAAATAGTGTTTCTTGCAATACATTATCGAAACCATTCATTTTCAAGATTTTCAAGTGTTTATAGATCTACTTGATTTGAACCAATTTTTAAATTTAAGGTTTTATGATTATAGATGAAAATAGATTCTCAATCTATCCTAAAAAAATTTTACACAAAATTATATTTTTGATAAAATTTAGAGGTGCACCTTAATTAGATTGTTTAAGGTTGCAGCCTCGTGCACAAACTACAAACAAAAAATGTACAAGGAAAACTTATGCGCGTACCACATTTATTTATGGTATCTACAACAGTCTGGTACAATTTTATGTGAAATTTATGTTGAGCTCCGGCATTATTTTTTCCAAATTTACCCTTTGATCCAATATTTCTAATATTGGACTTGACCTTTTTTTAAAAAAAAGAAAAAACAGGTGCAGGGCTCTCAAGTGCAGGGGCATGTCATATCTGGGGTAGTTCGACATTCATAACATCGGACCGCCCTAAATATGCGAAATTCAATGTTTTAAACATCGCACACCATACTGCACAGTTAAGAACATAATAACAAACATGCATTTTTGATATTCCTAATATCCGGCCTAATATCCTGGTTGATGCAGTTAATGCATCACCTATGACTTTTTTATTTCTATTTTGTTCAGTCTTTTTGTGGATTACTTGACTGTAAAGAGAACTGTGGGTTATGCTATGTTTATTCTTTTTGTATTTCTTTTATGTAGCTTATTATATATCGTTTATTTCTATCTATAGAATAGATATCCATATGAAAATATGGTTTATTTTATATTAGGTTATAATTGGATTTCTTTGCAGGAGTTTGAGATATAGGATTCATGTTTTTTTTTTTTTGCATTTTGTGAATACGTTTGTGTAACTTCACATGGTTGTGTTCTAATTTATTTCATGGACACTAATGTGGCCGATTTTAATTTAAGGTTTTCACGGAATTTGGATTTATTAATATTCTTTAATAATTATACATGGCTCACTTGATTATAGAGCGAGATCTTTGTTCTGCACTATTGGTGTTTCTCTCTTATTTGGAGCAATTATTTTTTCGTGGTAACTTGTCCATTAAGAGAAGATTGATCCAATTGATTGCTCCCGTTTCTAGATTGAGTTTACCTATTTCCAATATCTGAGAAATTGGGAAATAGGTTTTATCATTTCTCATTTCATGAAGTAATGTGAGTGTTCATTTCATTTTAATACAAAACATTGTTTTTTTATGAGGTGGGTTGAGCTAACTTTTGTGCAATAATTGTAAAGGCAATTATTTTGGATTATATATTCTTATTTCAAGTTTAGGGTGTCTTTGATCGGTGCAATCTACAAAGCCCTCATTTGAGTTACGATTGTTGCTTTCGAGTGAAGCAAATGATGGGTGAACTTTCTACATGTGAGGGAGTTTGAAAGCCACATATTAAAAAAAAAAAAAAAAGGTAACTCATTAGAACAATTAAAGGCACAAAGCGGGGAATATCATGTTACTCGAGCAATATGACAATTATGTATTTAAGATAGTTTTTCTCTCTCTATATATATCTTAAAACTTAAAAATTGAAATGTTAGATAGAGAAACCATCTCAAAATTATTAGAGATAGATACTTCTCGAACTTCAAATATTTAAAGAGAGAAATTACCTCGAATTTCATTTTTTAGAGAAAGAAATTACTTTAAATTTTGTAGAGAGAGAAACTAACTCAAATTCAAGTTTTAGATAGAGAAATTATTTCAAATTTCATATTATTTATTTATTGTCCCTTTAAATAATAGTTTCTGCCCCTAAAAATTTTGAGATGGTTTCTCCCATTAAAACTTGAAATTTAGTATAATTTCTCTCTCTAAAAATTTGAAATTTAAGATAGTTTCTCTCTAAATTTGTTTAGGTCATTTCTCTCACTAAAATTTTATTTTTCAAATTTTAAGACAGAAACTATCTTAAATACATGGTTGGTATTTTTGTCCTAGAAAAGCTACTTTCTTCAAAAATAAAAGCCATTGAGGTTGTTGAAAAGTATCAGGATGAAGTGTGCTTAGAAAGTATGGTCCAGGACGGTATATATAATTTTCCCTTATAAAAAACCCTTAAACATGGTGTTATATACCCCTCTTGAGTGTCGTGCAAGGCAGCACGTAGGGTTGAGAATTTATTTGGTCCGGATTTGAAACCCGAAATTTGGATCTTATTAGGATATGAATCCGAATTAATCCAAGATTTGTATCTGAAATTCAGATCCAAATAAAAAATCTAGATCCAGATAGTAATTTGAGTCAGATCCTGGTAGAGGTGGATCCGATATAGAGTTTTTAAAATATATATATATAATTATTTTAATTCTTAATTATGTTTGAAATTATAATATACAAAATTGGAACTGATTCGGATCCAGATTCGAATTTGATGTATGCTGGTTGGATTCAGATCCAGATCTAGGTGGATCCATACCCGATCTGAAAAATTCTCAACCCTAACAGCATGGGTTGGCAAATGATATTGCCACACACCTAGGTGGACAAATAGTTGTAAGAAAAGACCTGACCAAGTGTACATGAAAGGTTGCATGGTGGCAACAATGAACCGGATCAAGGGTGTGATGAATGGAAGGACATTGCAGGGGGATTTGTTCAAACATGTATGAGCCTTAGGGCTAGGCCAAGGTTCATGCAGACCCTAGTGTAGGACAAGTGTTTTATAAGGACATCAAAGTTATAGTGGGGAAGGCTTATCAAACTCCCTCTAGCATCATGCATGCGGGTTAGGTGGAACCTCATTAGTGATGCACCAAGTGGAAATGAATTTGGGTCTTAGCTCCTGGCGGGTTAGGTTTTTAAGCCATCAAACCTATAGAAGGGAGTAACATCAGCATTGGCCACCTTAGGTGGGTGCTACAAGGTTGGTGTGGCATGGGGGTAGTGACACCACGTTGCATAAGGAATGGATAGGCATTGATGTGGTGCAAGCTTTATTGGCCATGAGAATGGTGATTTGGTATTTAGATGCGTACAGAAGCCATATGAGCCCCTTTCCAGGACCCTTGAGGGGTGTTTGTGGTTCCATACAATAAAGTTGATAAAGCGAATCAGAGCAAGCTAAGGTTCTCTGTCTTTTTTTTCTTTTTTAATTCAGTGGGTAAATCACACTCCTACTTGTTTTTTCAAATACTTTAAGAATTAGTTTTTTTAATGTATTATTTCAAATACTTTAGGAACTAGTTTTTTTAATGTATTAATGTAATGGTGTCAATGGGGATGAAAAGCACAACGTGGTAATTAAGGTGTCGGGGTACTACCACCGCGATCCCAACCCCATTCCCGCTAATGTTCATTTTGATACTTAATTGTATGCTCATCTCCCTCCATTCTTTTTGTGTGTGCCTGTGAATGGCTGACTTTCAATTATTCTGGTTCAACTTTGGCTCGGTGCCACACAAGTTGGCTAAGTGAAAAATTAGCATTGTGACACTAGCCATCACATGATCATTTCTGCATGCATATTGTAAACTTCTTTAACTAAATAATCTACATATTGGCTCGTTGAATATTTATTTGAATTACAATCAAATCTAGTGTTTTAAACATTCAAAACTAATTTTTCCTATCTAAAATTCTTCAAGAAGTGATTTAAAGATGGAGTTTTTAAAAATTTTCATAAAAATTCTTTAATTAGGTGTTTTACCAATGGGACCACCTTATTCACAAATCATCTTTTATGTTACGTGCTCTTTCCTTATTTGAATAATACGTCAAATATCACGGATGCTTAAATTCACTTGTAGATCATTGAATGCGAGATTGAGTTCCCCCAAGCTAAAGAATAGAAGTATAGGCAGAACGAATCTCAACCAAGAGTTGTGCTTTGCATAGACATACACTGCCACATATTGGAGTTCCATTGAAGGAATCCTTCTCAGATCAACGGGTAATTTGTTTGAAGCAGAAAATCGACTCAGCCAAGGCACCCAAGTCTTGGCCTAGACGAGTTACTTGGACGAGTCCGAGTAACTCGCCTGAATTAAACTCAATTGTTTTTTAAAAAAGAAAGGCATATGTACTATAACATCCCACATTCTTTAACACCTACTGTTAAGATGCCCTATGTGAGATGTCTTGAGCTCAATTCTCGTGGGCGCATATTTTTGCGTCTCCTTTTCTCTTAACTATAAAAAAAAAACCCATGCCTAGAGTTTTACAAAACAAATGCGGCCTTCTGCCAAGAGGATAGTGATGTGGGATGCCCGTATGTTCTAGTCAAGGTGCCATTTACACATTTTTTTACTTAAAATGGATGAATTAGTATATGTAACATCTAAACAAGGTAAACAATCTACTTGGCTAAAACTTGCCTCGCCCATAGGGTGAGGACGAGTAACTCGGTCGAGTCCAACTGACCTGCGCTGAGTCTCAAAACACTGGTTTTAAGAGCACCCAAATTTCATCACAAGCATATACACACATGCATACCGACAATGTTAGATCATAACGTCTGTCAAAAGAGAAACAGTATCTGAGAATTGAATGCCTGGTGCAGGCTGCTATTCATTTTCTGCCATGGGAGAACTTTCAAATAATAATTTAGTCAGTCTTATAAAAATTTAGAAGAAAGGAATGAAATTCAAGTACCATAGAAATTATCATTAACAAAGCAAACATGAGAAATGAAAATATTCGACCAACCTAAGTAGGATGAATTTTCATAAATTATAGGAGCTCATGACAGCTTCCCATACAATTGCTGAAATCCCAGATATAGTAATAGAAAAACTAAATTCGGATGATCGAAAGTGGGAACAAGCTGATCTTAGTGTGCTTCAGCTTGAGGCTTACGGGCCAAGAAAAAATAATTTGGTGTAAATATCTCCTTCCTGTGTAAAACCCATGCAATTATCATTCTTTGAATTTGCCAAACAATGTTAATGACTTAGAATAACAAATATGGTTAATTGAGAAAATCAGAGTTCAAAATAAATATGGGCATTTTACATTACTCACTTTCCACCTTGAACGAGGCCTTCTGCAGCTGTCTCCAAGAGGTAAGACACCTTTTGGCTTCCTTTGGGTGCAAGGCCGAGACACTCTAGACATTTGACCTGCATGGAAAGCAGTTTCTTACGAGTTAATTGCTCAGTACACGTAGATCTTCAACAGACAATTTCTACTACACAAAAAAGTTATTTTACCATGCATCACTCTAATGGTGAATTCTAGTTGCCACAATCAATATTTCAACCTTAAATTACCCTTACAAACTTATACTATATTTTCTTTCAGGTACTTCAACGGTAAGATTTGAACTTGAGAATATTGCTGCAATCGTCATCGCTGCAATCGTCAACGCTTAAGACCAAGCCAAACTCCAGTTACATTAACTAATTTCTCTTTACCTTTTAAAAAAGAATTATTGTGTGAAGTAACAAAATTCACTACATGGGAAGTAAGTCAGCAAGTATATTATCGCTTTGTCTCTAATTTGATGTGTGAGCCTAATGTTAGGCATTGACATGTAAGAATGAGATCAGTGAATATTATCTTAGTTGCCATTACCAGGCCATTGAAAGAAGCTGAATAATCAATGAAAAATTTCAGATATGATCACTAATGTGCTTTTTTGCTTTTGTCCCTTTTAAGCTGGGATGAAGTTTGGGTTTATTGTAGGACCAAGAGAATGAACCTATATGAGACTATGAGCGTAATAAGTTGTGGCGGAAGGGGTTTGATCGTATCCAGGAATCTTATAAAATGAGGATTTAGATATTCTAGAGGGTTTAGGTTTCCTACAAAGTTTAGGATTACAAGATTTGAGGGTGTTGAGGTCTCCTAAATTGAATAAGATTGGGGAATTTTACTGGTATAAACCTTCAGTGATGATTTTTTGACAAGTAGGGTTTCAAAAGTCCATTACTGATGTTTATAGAAGCTAATAAAGGCGAGCTATTTTTTGCTCCTAAATGTGTGGAGGAGAAGAATGGCCCTGTTCCCAAATATAGTTTGCCAAAGGGGGAACTTAAACCTTTAAAGATACCATGAAATGTGCCACACACTAAGTCACCTGGTAGGAGAGATCATAGTAATATATACTGAAGTCTGAGAAATGAACTAAAATTATACATAAACACTATAGTAGGTAAATGAGAAAGGCCAATTCTGTCACTTACCAAGTTTCTAGTGAGAAACCGGCCTGGTACTGTTGAACGGAAGTTGCTTAAAGAAAAGTGGTTGGGATCCAAGGGCAAGTACCATGGTACCGGTGAAGTTGTTCCGAGATCCTTCTCCCACAAAACCTAAAGAAAGAGAATCAAATGTCAAACCAAACAATAGGCTTTCTTGCTTCAAATGTCTCACACATCTCAAATCTTGTGACAGATTTTAGATGTCTAGTACTCTGGTTTTCCTTGAGAAATTCAATGGATTTTATTAAAAGGATGCAGTTTAGGCTTTATGAAAATAATGTAAAGCCTCACCTCGAATCCTTGTATAGAAACCACTTTAGCCATTGGAAATCTCCAGCTTAAAATCAATTTCCAATACCGATTATGAAAATTTGAAGCTAAAACAATGGTACAAATTTGTTAGATCCATGAAGACTTATTTTTAGGGCGAAATGGATGGTCTAGATAATGGATTACAATATACACTATTTTTAGGGCTTAAAATCCTAATTTATTTCAGAACCATAATGGTCGAGCCAAGATGATCGAGCTAGAACTACAATTTTCGGTGAGTTTTGATGTGAGGCTTTACTTATTTTAGTAGGGCTGCAGCCCTATCAAAATATTTTACTTATTAAAACAGTAAAAAATAAAAAGAAAATAGAAAAAAGCATTTTTGAAGTAGATAAAGGAGTAATTGTTTATCCTAATATTCTTCTATCTTGAGTCTTGGTACATGTTTGCCTTATATTTCATATGAGGGAATCAGTTGTAGAAAAATTCCCTCATGTTTTCCAAGAAGTCAGAATCCACAACCATTGATTCCTACCCAGTGACTGTTAGGGGTGGCAATGGACCGGGTGGCTTGGCCAGGCCCTAAAAAACTAGGGACCAAGCCATAAAAAGTGGCTTGAGGGCCGTGCCTGGGCAAGGGCAATAGAGGCCTGGCCCAGACCTTATTTGTTTTTTATCTTTCTTCCCTTGGTTTTCTTTAATTTTACCTTGCCCGACCCAGCCCTGATAGACCCAAGGCTGGGCCTAGACCGGCCCTCAGGGGGCTAGGTTGGCCAGGCCCAGCCCATTGCCAGCCCTACTCGTTGTGGACCTTTTCATATATAAAAAAATAGTCATGTATTGTATAATTTTTTTTTTTTGTATACAAATTTATAATGTGCCAACTTTTCACAAAGTCGTAAATTTTCTATGATAGGAAAACAACCCTTTTTCTTGCCAAAAATTCGTTTTGTTTTTGCAGATTCAAAAGCATGGAAATATTTTTTTGCTTTGATGGTTTGGAGGTCCTAAATTTTCTTTCATAATGTCTAATAAAAGATCAAGATTCACAACGTAGAAGTAATGAAAAAGAATTTGGATCATTACCTCAAAACCAACTTGTTTAAGAGCTTCAAGGCATTGCCTAGTTGACCTTATATCTGTAAGACCATCACCGAACTCGATTTGTGCCTGCTTTCAGGACAATTTGTTGCTATAAGAATATATAGCTTACAAGCACATGTATATGTAGACTACCTACCAAGAATATTGTCACATAGTGATTTTGTGCACCAACAGAATCATTTGCTCCAAACATAAGCATTGGCATAAGAGAGAGAGAAAGGGACCTTGATTTTCTGGTGTTCTTGATTATTGGGGTCGAAAGAATCAGTCATACACCATTCATATGCTGCAAAACATTGACCTGGCTTTAACACTCTATAAATCTCTTTGTAGCATCCAGCCTGCATAAAAGAATTAGTTGGAGCAATCCTTTGCACTTACATGAAAATGATAGTAAGAACCTTCAAAGAAAATACAGATAAGAATTTGACATAGCAAGTAAAATTTGGCCATAACATACTACATCAGGTGCGTGGCAGGTTGCTTCCAATGCATAGATTGCATCAAAAGTGTTATCTGGGATTGGCATTTTCATGAAATCGGCCTGCAAAATGAAGAGTACAGAGGCCATTTAGACCACTTGGCTACAGAGGTCCTCATATGCAGTTAGTTAAAAAGGATGTCTTAAAAGAAGCAGACCTTCAGAAAGTTGCACGTCTTGTCTACTCCAGCTATTCGGTTTAGCTCCTGAATCACAACCACAATAACAATATTTTAAGTCTATGCAACAAGAATTCAAGAATTAGCCCATTGCATAAAACTTCACATGAAAGAATGATCCTTGAATGTGAAAATGACTATTGGGCATCTAGGTAGAGCTTGAGAATGAGGCGAAGATACCCACCTTGGGGAAATTGGGAATTGAATAAATTTTTATACACTTGCAACAGAAAAAATTACACCAGCTTTCATAAAAAAAAAAGGAAAAAAAATTACATAAAATTATCATAGGATGGTAATAGGATACACATATGAACGTCACTGAAGTCCATAAATTTGTACTAATTGTATTGTATGTAACTACTGAGAACATTTCAAGCTCTAGTTTAGCAGTAAGAGTCACTGTTGCAAAACCCACAATAGTGCCTTGGGACTAAACCCAGCTAACTCGACTCCACCACATTCCATGTCACATTTTGCCAAAAGAACCAAGGAAACAAAAACCAGAGAAAACTCAACCATGTCTCGATCAAGAGTCAAATGAGCAGGAATAATTTTCTAGGTTTTGATCCATCAGAAACCAAAACCCTGATTTCAATTTCGACCAGTATTCAGCTCTGATTGAATATTTTAACATTTTTAATGTTTTCTTAAATTTCTCAATTTTCTGGGATTTCTCTAACCACAAGTCCTGAGCTAAGTCTACAATGGCACTCTAATCACATAAGAGTGCCCCCGTCTACATTACTACTTGGGTAGTTTTTATGTACGAGTCATTAGATCCATTCCTACATTACTACATGGATAGTTTTAATGCAAAATAAATAGTGCAAGATTTTTTTTTTTTTTTCTTTGTTTTCTTTTTGATGTAAATACTGCAAGATATGCTAGTCATCTTCTAGCTTACAGGATGTCAATGATATTGAGACACCGATTAACGAGATTTTAAATTGGAATCTCAACAAGGTGTTTCCTTGTTGTAAACTATTGTAGAGGATAACCCAACAGAAATAATAGATATTGCATTTTTAACTTACGTCAATTATGTTTGGAAAAAGTTTATATAGAGCCGAGGCTCTAAACAATGAAATTGGAGCATACCACATAAATTTCACTAGAAGAAGTTGTTTTGATGCCCAAATATCTTCAAATTTATCATCTTGACATCAAGATGTATGGACATGAGAAAAAAGTGTATTTCAAGATTTGAAAATAGTGTATTTTGTAACGCATTTTTGGAACGTCAATTTTCAATATTATCAAGTTTTCATAGATATGTCGATCTACACTATTTTTGAAGATTTAAACTTTATAAATGAAGATGAAAATATGTTTCATCGCTATCAGAAAGATTTCCAATATTGAAACCATATTTCTTGACACTATTTGAGGGTAGGCTCTAATTTGATCGCGTAGAGCCTAGACTCTATACAAATCGCACCCATTATGTTTTGATCTACAAATCACAAACCACCGGTCCTTATTATTTTATGTAAATATGCTAGTAGCTCATCTATCAACCTAATATTTTGCATTGATCAAAGTTTATTAAGGCAATCCATTGTTTCATAGAGGACAAGGCAAAAATCATGTAAAATCTTACTAGACATACTTTTTCTTTGGGAAGTTTAGTGGGGATGAGCCTCCTACCGTGGTGGGGATGGGCCTCCTACCGTGGTAGGAATGGAGCTCAAGACGTCATGTTGTGTGACCCACCACCCTGACCACTAGCCTTGAGCCCATTCCTAACCAAACAAATACTAACCATCAACCATGGATAAGGTTTAAGATCTAGTTACAAAACTTGCGACCATATTTCAATACTAATGAAATGACTAGAACTAGTGAAGCATGAGTCTTTATTTATATCACATACACTATTAATATGTGAACATGCGGTCATGCATACATTTCTGTATATGGAAGGGTAACCCCTTAGCCGAGAGTGTTGTGATCTTCATTGCAACCATTTGGTTATGAATTCTGGTCCCATGCTGCTCTGTGAATAACGCCAATCGGTACAACTACTCTATTACTACAATGCCTATGTGAGAAATCGATCCAACTTTGCTGATTTAGTAGGTTGTCGTCACATACTTCAATCTGTGTGATGCCAACACATTTCTAATAGTAGAATGCCTGAGTGAGAAGTCGACCCCACTTTAACAACATAAATAACCAAAAAGGACCATGACTTCATGCAAGACTTCCACAGTGTGCAGATCTTCACCTCAACCGCTTTGTTGTAGGTTATACTTCAATTCATCTATGTGTATATACTGCCAGTTAATGTTATTACATTTGAAGTTATGAGCCACCTATGTGAAACACCACTCCTCATTCACCAAAATTAATGAGCTAGACAGTCGCATAACTAGATACATCAGTAGTCTAGTTTACTAATGCTAATGCTCCAAATGTTAGCAACAACATCATGACCAAGAGAATGCCACAAATTAAACTAAGCAAAGCACAGCAATATATGGAGTACTTACAATTCCTCTGGATATTTGATATTCATTGTTGTTCAAGCCAGTAATAGAAGTTAAGCTGCAACAAAAACATGGAAAAAAATTCACTAATCTACAACTCAAAGCTATTGAAACACCATCAAATGAATTATTAGGAACTCAAGACAACAATGGCCAGCTAACCTAAAACTCTTTCTCAAAATGGCACACTATTGTTTTATTAGCAACACATTTGTTTCACTAAAAGATTCCTTTAAAAGATTAAAAACTAAGTACACCTGTTTTTATGAACTTCGATGCATTCCAACCAAGGAGATCAATTTGTTCACAAGAAAAGTTATAATGAAATGAAGCAATTTATCAAGAATAAGCCTTTTACGGATGGAATTGTTCTCAAGTATATGGCAAGGCAGAACTGAAAATAAGTTCAACAAAAAATCCTAATGAGTTCTCTAATTACGCTTACCAATCACATACATTCTCTGCATATGCAATAAATAATAAGAAAGCCATTCATTAATATCTTAAACAATCATTGTCTACATTTTCTTCCATTATACCACAAGGGAAAGTGTAGTATGATCCATAAGATAATAGCATGGTCATCAGGGTCATGTCCATACCATCAATTAATTGGGTGGGGTAGGGGATCGTGGGTTCTACTTTGAAAGGGGTTCAATCGAACACCTCCACTCTTCGTCCATTGTCATCCAAGTTATACTGTGGACAGTGATACACTCATGACCACGTTGTTTCCATGACCATACTGATCACACTATGCATTCCATGTACTATAATGCACATAAAATTTTGAGTGAGGACATGTATTCCCAAGCATATCTGAAGTTCATGACTTACCTAAATCTAGCAATTTCACGTAGCGGCCCTCCAATTCCACATCCTACATCCAATACCTTCATTCCTGGTTTTAAACCAAGTTGCAAAGCGATGAAATGTTCGTATCGCTTCAGGCTTTCCCGAAAAGATTCTCCTTTCCATCTAAAACACAAGAGCATTCAGTTTCATCATATACAACAGAGCAATTGGTAAGAGTCTATGTGCTGTAGATGTGTGCTTAGTATCTTCATAAGATGCCAATCAAGTTACATACCTTGGAGCAAAATGGAAAGACTCGCCCCAGCCGAACTCATAAAAGCTGGTTGAAAGATCATAATATTTGTTTGCCTGAAATTGTTATGAATGAACACCTTTTAGTCCAATAAACATTGTACGTGCCCCGCAAACTTAAGAATGCTCACCAGCCATGGGTGTTTAATATTCATTAATTGATGATCCATATCACTACAAAGATCACCACCGAGGAGGGAAAAATTAAAGCAATATCGGTTCCCCATTCCTCAAACCATATCAAAATACAAGATATTACTTGATATTTTGATATAATTTTTCGATAATTAACTATTCTGATAAACTTACAAAATAACAAGTGACACAATGGCAATCTTTTGATAATTTGTTCTTCCTGATCTACCATATTTTGCCTAAAGAAAGACTAGCACTGAATCTTGAGCAATCAAAGGACTGCAAAGTTTGCACAGTGATTTAGAAATCCCTACTGTGATTTTATGTTTCCATAAGTTGAAATGGGTTGCAATTTAAAACTAGCAAATGCCACTTCAGAGATTTCTAGTCCAGAACTCCAGATAGAATCCAAACCCTACTTTTCTTTATCATGTACCTAACAAGAATTTGTGGAAACTTACAAATGAACCCAATTGCTAGTGCATTCCACATCACTTATTATTGTGCATCGCAAATCACAATCAACATAACAATGAATATGATCTACACCATGCTAGTCATAAGATCTCTTGTCATTATGTAGAATGAGTCTTTCGAAAAAATAAAACAAATGTTGAATCAATTCATTAACATAAACTACCAATGTAAAATGGAAAAATGTCCAGAACACATGTAATTGAGTTTTAGGAGTTTCTTCCAACAAAATTGTCCAATGCAAAAACAGTCATTATCAAAAAATGGATAGAAAAAATACAATGGATAGTCAAACAAACCGAATATATGAATGAGAAACACTGAATACACAGAAATCATCTAATTGAGTTTTAGGAGATTCTTCTAAAAAAATGGTCCATTGCTAAAACAGTCATTATCAAAACATGGATAGAAAAAATACAATGAACGGTCGAATAAACCAAATATAAGAATGAGAAAAACTAAATGCACAGAAATCATCTTCTCACCACGTCAGTGTAGTTCTGTCTCCTTAATTCTTCATTCCCTCCATATAAAACATGGTACTTCTCATACCTATTGAGAGCATGAGCAAAAGGTTTGGAACTAACTTTTGAATGCTAAAACATTATCATATGAGAGAAAACAAACATATACAATTGAAACTTCATTGTTACACATGGAAATTTATCAATATAAACCACAAAGTGAACGGATGTTGCAGTGTCACTCTGAAGTTAAGTCTAAATTGTATTTGTAGTGTTTGGAGGATCCACTATCTGTTTATTAGTTATATACTAAGAATCTCTCTCTCTAAGTCCTAAGTTTTGTTGTTAATTGAAAATGTTTCCTCATGTGCCACATATCAAGTTGGTATTCTTTTTTTTTTAGACTTCTAAGCTCTTTTTGCAGGTCTCCATATGGGTCATAAATAAATTTTCCTAGTCTAATGCTATCCATCCTACCTACCGCCATGGTCTCTGAACTGTCAAATGAACAAGAAAGTCCAACACGGGTTGATATGGACTTGCTTTCACCGATGGATATCAAATAAGAATTTGCTATTTTGGAAAGCAAGTTGTTATCATTGTCTTGCTCACACAGTTCAATTCTCAGAGAGGCCTCAGAAGCTGTTGCAATGGCCTGTAAAACTAGTATTTACACGAAATAAATTGAGCTGCTCTTGTATTAAGTTGTATTATTTTGATCCATGATTGGAAAAACTGAAACGGAAGCGAGAGAGCAGCGGATTAAAAAAACAAAAAAACATAATAATTAATAAAAAAAAAAAAAAAAAAAGAAAAGAAAGAAAGAAAGGAAGGAAGGAAGGTAGAAGGGGTTTTTAGATGGTCGCGTGGTCTCCGATTTTCAATATCCGAATCGAGGAAAAGCACAACATTTTAAAGGATTTCGGTCTTTCAAAAATCCAAAAAAAAAGTTAGATTTTCTTTTTTTTTAAATTGATTATAGAGAAAAAACAAACATATGTGTAACCATGGAAACCTATAAGTATTTTTATAATAACAATAAATATAACTGATATATACATAATTTTTCTTTTTTTTTATCCCAAATTTCCTCCCATGTAATGACTTCGGATCATAAGGATCGGATGATTTTTTTTTAAAATTATGGTTTCATATCTTAATTTTAATATATTGGATTCATCTCATAGCTTGACTTCCGAAGCCAAAGATTTCATAAATTGAAGTCTATCCTAAAATAGCTAACCCCACCAATACTTTTTCTAAAATCTTTCCGCGTTCGAAGCCAAAGTTTATATGGAGCCGAGGCTCTAAACAAACAAATTTGAGGCTACCTCAAAAATTTCATTAGAAGAGGTTGTTTTGATGCTCGAATATCTTCAAATTGATCATCTCGACATCAAGAAGTATCGACACAAGAAAAAAATGGATGCAAGTTCTGGAAAGAGTGTTATTTTGAAACACATTTTTTGACAGTCAATTTTCATGTTTTCATAGATCTATTGATCTACACTATTTGTTAAGCTTTAAAATTTATAAAAAAATATAAAAATATATTTTAAAGCTATCACAAATACTGAAATCACATTTCTCGATACTATTTAAAGATAGGCTCTAATTTAATTGTTTAGAGCCGAGGCTCTATACAAACCGCACCCCTTTTGATGATTTGATGACTGACCTCAAAAGGAGAAAGAAAGAAAAAAATAATAATAATTCAAATCACATATGGTGTGCACCTAAAAAAAATAAAAAAAATTCAAATCACATATGCTGTGCACCTAAAAAAAATAAAAAAAATTCAAATCACACCTAAAAAAAACAAATTTCCAAGATTCAAGAGACACCGTCCAATTTGAATGAGAGATCTAAGTGTTACATAACTTGTAGGGGTGGCAATGGACCAAACCCGGGACCGGCCGGATATACCCGGCACACGTCGAGTATGGGTCTTGTATTTGGATGCGGCGGGTCAGGTCCAAGTCCAATATTTGGACCCAAACACTATACAGGTCCGGGTTCAGCTGGACCCAACCGTACCCGTAAACTATTAGATATTTAAGCCCTATTCATTTGGGTGTACTAAAGATCATATATAACTAGAACTAGTAATCATCTTTAGTTATTGAATGACAAATCATTTGAAATCTAATAACGGGTGATTGTAACCTTGTTGCCAATAAAAACATGATGGTAAAAAAAAGGACAATAAAAAAGAAAAAAAAAACTCATAGTGAGGGTGCCAATGGACTAGAGGATGGGGGATACCCGAGACCCAACAAGTACAGGTATGGGTTTAATTTTTGGGGCCGACAGGTTCGGTCCGGCTCCAAAATATGGATCCAAATCTATTCGGGTCTGGGTCTGGGTCTAGCCGGACCTGACCCATACCCGACTCGTTGCCACCCCTAAACTTATGAGTAAATTATTTTCCGTTTATTTCGAACTAATCATATGGGGATTCTTAGGTAGGGCCGAAGAAGGTTTTTCCCCGAAGGAGTCCATCTACAATAAGCTCCCGCAAGAGCATGTCATCATAACTTTAATCAAATTACTGTTATGGGTGACAATGGGCCGGGCCAGCCCCAAACCTGGCCCAACATTTGTCCCCTTAAGACCAGAACAAAAATAAATGAAGAAAAAAACGAAAAAGAGGGCTAATCCAGGCCGAATTGGGGTGGCATTTGCCCTAATCTTGCCCTTAAACCATAGTTTGTGGCCCATGTCCTACCTTTTTTAGGGCCGGGCCAGGCTGGGCTGCCTAGCCCATTGCCAACGCTAATTATTGTATGATGGGACCTTCCTTTCCAAGCCGCAGTTGTAGGGGTGGCAACAGGTCAGGTATGGTTGGACCAGGACCCATACCAAAATAGTATTTGGATCCAAAATTTCAACCCCTATCCAAACCAGTCAGGTCCCGGGTCTGAACAAATCCATTGCCACCCTATGATTATGAATTTTTTTTTTTTTACCATCATATACCATATGGCTATAAGCTTTTGTTTTTTGCTAAAAATACCATAAATGTTGCCAATATTGTGACAATATGAAAACCTAACGTGCACTTAAAAGACACATTATTGCCATAATATACACTATGACACGGGTACGAGTCAGGTTCAGCTACATTTGGACTTGGGTCATAGTAGCATTCGGGCCCAAAATTTGGACCCATACCCAGACCAGAGGTCGAGTATGTACCCGTCAGGTACCAAGTCTAATCGGGTCCATTGCCACCCCTACGCAGTTGGGAAGATCGTAACCTCATAATCATGGGGTTACAAAAACCACATGGATCATATTATAAGCCTAAGATATTGCAATATTGGCTCCTAGATCATGTGGCACCTGAATTACTTGTATCCAACCAAAATATCTATCTCAAGTTTTCTCTTCCAAGTTTATCATTAATTTGTACGACAAGCAAACATAAGCTAAAATAACAAAGCTGGCATATTGCAGAAATGTGGGCTTGACAATAAATATATTTTAAAAATATAATTTGATCTTAATTTTAAAAAATATATAATCGTTCACAAGGAGATAACGAATAAAGACGACCTATTTGCATCCATCTTTAATATAGATATTTTATACTTCGGGACCTCACACTGCATAAATAAAATCCAGCCCACATGAAATAATTGTTTATAATAAAATTTATGGCTCCACGCTATTGAACTGTATACTTTGTCCTACATTATTAATAGCATGTGCACGGGTTACGCATGACTGCAGTGACACAACTTTCAAAACATAATCATTTTGATGTAGGTCCAACTTAGAGACAGAAGATTTTATATAGAGAGAGAGTATTGGGAATTTAAAAAATGCTCCAAATCAATAGCACCGCATAATTGACTCCGACAAGTCCACGTGACGGATAATTATTTTAGGCTGCTAAAAACTTAAAATATTCTCTTTTATTTCTTCTTTTTATTGATGATTATCGAGGCTGTTAAAAACTAAAAATATTTTATTTTATTTCTTCTTTTCAGCATTATTACTTGAACTTGTGTAGGAGCACGTCCATGTGAAAGATGATTAGATCTAGGCTGCGAAAAACTTAAAATATTTTCTTTGATTTCTTATTTTTAGCATTATTACTTGAAATTGTGTAGGAGCATGTTATATGGTCCCAACTCGCTAGTCCATACGAATATTTATGGATGAAGGTTCCATAAGGCCTATATTTATGAAAACCAAATAAAGTCGCACCTCCAATCCTCTCGTCTGGAAAGCACTTTCAGCAATAGAATCTCCATAATGGTTCCAAAAACAATTTCCAACAATAAAATTTTGAAACTTAAAAAATTGTATAGATCTTGCTGATCTTTGAACACTTAGTTTTAGGTATAAATGGACAGTCCAGATAGTTTGTTAGAATATACACCAACTTTTAGATTTGAAATCTTAATTTTTTTTTCTTAATTTCTTTTTACAATCATAATGTTCAAGTGGAGATGATGATCAATGTAAAGGTTTTCCAATGCTTAAATTACAATTTTCAATGAGTTATTAGGTGAGGCTTTGTAGACAAAATACAACTGAAAATTGTTTGTAAATAAGGGAAAACTTATGCGAGAGTATCATGTTTTCAAGCTTTAACAAAAAAAAAAGGAGAAAAAAAAAAGAAAAAGAAACATGAACAAATTAGACTTACTCTTGCACTGCAGAAAGGACTCCCTCTTTCTCTATCTTCCCTCCAACACCAGAGCCCAGATCTAAAACTCCAGTCCTAGACATTCTCAATGCAATTTGCTAAACCTTCAAGGCCATAGATAAAGCCAATCAACAAGTCAATCGTTTGAGAACCTAGTTTCATTTCTAATTATAAAACCTTTAAACTCCAAAAATGGTTCAAATCAAATAGATCTATAAACACTTCTTGAAAATTGACGCTTCAGATAATTTGTTGCAAGATACATTATTTTTAGGACTCAATTTATTTTTTCGTTTCATATTCATACATCTCGATACTCGATGTCGAGATGATCAATTAGAGAGTTTTTGAACATCAAAATAACCTTTTATGAAAGATTTTTTAGGTGCACCTTAAATTCTATAGTTTAAGAATTGCCACCTTATATAAACTTTTACATTTGGAAAGATCATATGGTTTATATCTCAGTTCATTACAAAAAACTACTGTTACAAGCACATTTGGGAAGATCCAGGAAAAAACTCATATGATGCAAATGTTTATATAAGCTGGGAAAAATCCACTTTCATGAAAAGTACAAAGTAATGGTAAAGATTGGAGATGTATTGAAAAGGAACAGAGAGAAAAGAATGCCACAAGGATTGAGAAAAGCAGATTATGCCATGTTAGATATGCAAGAACAATATCATAATCCGTCGATCGGTCCCAGAATTTTTATCAGTGACAAAAAAGAGAAGGGAACTTACTCTGGATGGCTTTTGCCGAACTGTAGAACTCAAATGCACTGTCAAAATGTGAACCTGAAAAAAAAGAACGAAATGAAGATCTGAAGAACAATGAACCAGAGGATCACGGTTATCGTCGCTGTTATAATGGTAGCGACCCATCCCCTTAAGTAACAGTAAGAGACTATTTAAAATGCTCGCAATGAATAAATAACAGGGAGTTTTCTTTTTGTTTTTTCTTTGGGGGGTAATTAACAGGGAGTTTTCTTGAATATAAAAGTCGTATGCAATGATAAATGACGTTATAGTAGCACCCAAAAAATGATGAAAAGATTGGCATTGTGCTTGCGATTTAAGTCCGTTATATCAATTATAACGGGTGCAGTTTGCATACGGATGCAGCGGTAGTGGTAAGGGGCACTTTCAAATTTTATCATGGTATATAATTTTGATGTAAAATGTTTTAAAAATTATTTTAAAATTTAATTTTATATCTAATTATAAAATTTTAAATTTAAAAAATAATAAAAATCGAGTATCTATAAACATATGAAAATCTTGAAAATGGACGGTGTAGAAAATATGTTGTAAAATATATTATTTATGAGACTTAAAATTTTTTTATTTTTCATGTTCATACATCGTGATGTGGAGATGATCGATCAAAGGGTTTTTCAACATTAAAACTTCCTTGTCCGAAGAACTTTTTAGGTGCAGCCGTAGTTCTACAGTATAAGGTAGCATCTTTAAATAAACTTTTTCCATTATAGCGATGTTATTTTTGAAGTTCAATAGTTATTTAATGAGAAAGTAACTATTTGTTAATGCCATTATTAGTTGAAACTAAAGTCCTTTATAAACTACTGTTTCAATTTGAGACCGGTTTACGAGCATATCTTCCCAAAGTACCCTTATTTTAAAATCCCCAATTTTTTATGTTATTTCGGTTATACAAATTTTTGTTTTTTTTAATGATACGAGCATATCTTCCCAAAGTACCCTTATTTTAAAATCCCCAATTTTTTTTGTTATTTCGGTTATACAAATTTTTGTTTTTTTTAATGATGTTGTTCATGTTTCGGATTTTAAATATCTAAAATTTAACAAAACGTTCTTTAAGTAGGTTTGACGACCAAACCTACCTCGGCTCCACTCTAAAATACTCGAGGATCCGAAGTTTAACATATCCAAACCCTCACCTTAGGGGTATACAAGATGAGTTACATAAAAAAAAACAAAAAAAATTAAAATTTTTAAATCAAAATCTTTCAAGTTAAAAAAATAATAATGATCTAAGTTTTGAGTTCCGATGTAATTAGTCAACTAAAAAAAATTTGTTTTGAGTGGGCTGGACCATATTTGTATATATGCAATCCATAAAATGTAAATCATCCATCTTAAAGATATGAGATAGATGCAAGTAGGTGGTTTATCTAAAAACAATAAAAACTAACCATCCAAATGTTTTTTTATTATAATTATTATTTTTAATTTTTTAAATTTATTTATTTTTTATATTTATGATTTCCATATTAAAAATTGCACGTTTTAAAAAATTAAGCTTTAAAATCTATCTAAAAAATAGATTAATTAAGAAGCCCGCAGGTCCCATCGAATATATTTTATATTTTCAAATTCCAAAGCACTGACAAGCCTCCTTACGTGCCCCATACGTTTTAGTGTAAAACAAATGTCAAAATAAACCCATCCCAAAAAAAAAAAAAAAGCTGAGACTTAGAGAGAATCCTGACCTCCGAGAATCTCGAGGAAGAATGGCGCTGGGAACTTTTAATAGAAAATTGTTGAATGAGTTGGAGGGACGCATCCCTAAGGGCATAAAACATGCATCATGGATGCACATGGGTGGTACTTAAAATTTGAGAAAATTAAATACGGACCTTAAAAAAATACCGAAAGGGTAACGACCTTGGGAGACTCTATGACATTCATCGGTAGGGATTACCATTAAATTTGATATATATTTTTTAAAAAATTAAAATTTATAATTATATAACAATATCTTTTGTGTTGATCATTTAAAGTTTTACACACTTGAATGTGGGAGAGTATCGCAGGATTATTACTTATACGAAAAATACGAGATATTCCATTTTTAGTCGAAAATTAACAAAAGGGTTGGTCAACACATGGTTTTATTTTTTAAAAATTGACCTTCGGTTTGAGGCCTCAAACCGCATTTTAATTTTTTTTAGTTTTTTATTTGGCAGGGCAGTGTAACAATCCTAAACTTTTGAAAAAAATAAAAAAAATAAAATAAAAATAAACTTTTAATACATGATTCGTTTGAACATGATGGTCCTCAGGGACCATCTCTACTTTTTAAAGCTTTTCGTTTAAAAGCTTTGTTGCTTCCTTGCGCTTGCCACGTCCACTAAAGGACGTGGGCTTTAGTCGTTTAAAGCGTAACCTAACGCTCATACCTGTAATGTAATAAAAGAATAAAATAATATATTAGTAGAATTTAAATTCAGAGAGATGAGGACTCTTACCTTAAAAAAAACTTATGAGATATTTCTCTCTGGTCGAAACACAGTGAACTCCTCTCTCTAGCCGATTTTTTATCGGAAGCTCCTTCGCAAGTATTTGTGGGTAAGTGACATCGTCTTCCTGAAAAATAGTCTATTTTTAATAAATAGTGATATTTCCGTCCAGGATCTTTATTTTATAAGTTTTGTGTGTAAGTGACATCGTCTTCCTGAAAAATAGTCTGTTTTTAATAAATAGTGATATTTTCGTCCAGGATCTTTATTTTATAAGTTTTGTGTGTAAGTGATATCGTCTTTCTGAAAAATAGTCTATTTTAAATAAATAGTGATATTTCCGTCTAGGATCTTTATTTTATCAGTTTTGTGTGTAAGTGACCTCATTGTCTCGAAAAATAATCCATTCTTTTTAAAAAATAAAATGAAATAATTATTTCTGCTTATTATCATGAATTTTAGGCGCGATAAATTTTACGCGCACGTGACCTCATTATCTTGAAAAATAATATTTTTAATAAAAATTGTGATATTTTATCTATGTTAGAAATTTTGAATGCTGTAAATTAGAAAAATAAATTTATTTATTTTTCTTGTCTCTTGTTAGAAATAAATGTGATATTTCAGCTTTTAGTAAAATTGTGATATTTCTTTCTACTGTTTTGAATATTTAGACATTGTAAAATTCATGTGCAAATGACTGCCTTATTATAAAAAAATTGAATTTTTGCAATTGATTATAGTATTGTTGTGAAATGTTTATTTGTGAATTGATATTCCATAAATTGTGATAATTCTGTATTTTTGAATTTTTATAAGTGTTTTTCTATACATATTAAATTGGTAATTATGCTAGAATGCCTTTACAAACTGCTACCTTTCTAAATTTGAGCCCAAAATATTTGATTGGTTATTTTTGAAATATTATAGAGAGTGATTGTTATTAATGGTTTAAGTGAAATTCATATTAATGGTTTCAGTGATATGTTGAGTACATGATATTGCTGCTTTCGAATGTTTAAAGAGATTTAGAAATAATTTAAGTATGCAAGTGGACTCATCCGGTTCGCCGGTGAGGTATAAGTGGACCTATATGGGACGCCGGTAGATATTAAGTGGACTCATCCGGTACGTCGGTGAGGTATAAGTGGACCTACAGGGATTAAGTGGACCTATCTGGGACGCCGATAGGGATTAAGTGGACCCATCAGAACGCTGATGGGGTATATAGGTGACCTACTTGGGATGCCAGTAAGGTATTTTGTGAAATCCTTTGAATTATGCACTACCGTTAAAGTGTTATATGCAATTCAATTATTCGGATTATACTTAATTATGCATTTATTGAAAGTGAAACTGTTGATACATTTCTGTTAATAGATCTCATTTTGGAAAATATTGATATCTTTCAATCATGATTATTTATAGGATTATGATGATCACTTACTGAGTAGCCAAACTCATCAAACTATGATAAACATTTTTCAGGATAACTGCGGTTTCATTTTGAGTGCTAGTCAAGATCAACCTTGGAAGATACTGTTGTTGTGCTAGCTTTCTTTATTTACTATGTAAGAACTCGCCACTGTAAATTTGTCCTATCAATAGATGTATATATGTTTTGTCCGTCACATCTCAGGAATAATAGTATTGTAAATTCTTGGAGTGTGACAGGTAGTGTCACGAGTTTTAGGGGCAATGCCCCAGGCGCTTTGAGGATGAGAACCTCGAACCGTCGCTAGATTGAACGGAGTTCATGTTCAAGTTGGTATGAGGATGGCATTCTCAGACCAACATT